TATCAGTGGGCCGATTGCGCCTTTGTGACTTGCAAGCCAATTTAATTTGTGACATTTGCTGAGACAATTTTCTCCATAAGAATTCCGAACCTAGTTGTGTGTTACTGGAATGGTTCCTGTACCCTGAACCCTCCATCCCCCAATCCTCTCGAGATTTTCCGCTGTGTGTGGGCCCGAGGCTGGATCCTACGATATGGTTACCCCAAGGAACTTGCGTCTACATGAAACAATTAAACTCAACATGCATTTATGTCAAGTTATTCGCGCTGCGCCGGCAATTAGAGAGCAAACCAAGTCGCCCCAACTCCAAGTGGGCTAAACTGCAACGCATGATCACTGGGCAGTAAATTAACCGCACTTCCATGTGGTTACGGTTACAGTCCGACAGCTGCAGTTGTAAATTTGATTTTTATGGCTAGAAACATGTTGCCAATTGGCAGCAGCTCGCCCGTTCGGTCCAAAAAAAGCTGCAAAAATGCAGCTTAAAAAAATCATTTTTTCCCGATATCTGTCACCAGTCATCGAAAAGGAAACCTTGCCGACTCTTGAGGTGTTAATTTGGCCACATGCCGAATGCTCTGGCCATAAATTCAATTCGTGTTCATGTCGCGTGCAATTAGCCGGGCCGAAATCTTTCGTTTCCGATTCTTGATCAATGGATTGGTAGAATTATTGAGGAGAGAATTTAAAGAATGGTATTTTAAAAGCTAATGGTAACGGACTTTGAGTTAGGACCTCAAAGCACATACTGAAATACCTTCTTATTGAATTTTTATTACCAAGGGACAAATACATATGAAAGAAATCCCCATACTATATATACATTAATAAATGCCAATAATAACTAATTTTTGGGAATTATTCTCTTATAAATTATTTATAAATCATTTTTAACACGTAATAGTGAACACACTTCGTGTGAATATTAATTACTTGGCGACCAATCCAAGGCATAATAAAGAAAAACCAAATTTCCATTTCAAATTTCATCGCTATCGTCTGGCTGTATAAAACTGAGTCTGATTCAAAGTTTCAGTCTGAATCCCAGCCAAAGACTGTCTTGTCCAGCAAGTAAATCGTGACAATCATGACAAAAATCGAACGGATGTTTGAAGCCAACAAATGCAAAAAGTATTGTATTTTCGGCAGGCAATTTATCATAAAACAGCGAAACAAAATCTAAGGAAAAGAAACAATTTCAATCCTATAACTCTGAGGCAGGCAAAATAACAATAAATATACAACAAACAATAATTTATAATAAATTGTCATTTGACGTGTTTGAAATGTATTGGCAATTAAAAACGCAATTGAAGCGAATGGAGTGAGTTGGAAGGGCGGGTCGGATCGGCGCTCCTTGGTGCAGTGGATCGCTTTCTGGGAGTTGTATATTTATGGGTAGCAGCAATCTTTGGAGTTCATGAACTCCCTAACTTTGGGTGTGTAGAGTTTGGTCATGATATTCCAGCCAAAACAAATCAAAGGCAAGGCAAGACGGATCAAAAAAAAAGAGTAAGGCTAAAGTTGAGCAATCAGTTCATATAACAGTTTGTAGATTTTCTGAGCTTACATTTTTTATAATAGTTATGTACAAGTATTCTTCAGAAATGTATGTTAACTTCAACTTTGACAAAAATATGTCTCATTTCTATATTATTTGCTTATATGGCATATCATTTCCGTTGAAGATCACAAACTTTTCTTTCAAAAAAGCTGTGCCCTCATATTATTTCCCTTTTTCTGTTGTCTCCCAAAAATGCTGATTAAAGGTCTTTTTTCTGTCGATTTTGTTGCTGATTCCCGTCGTCCCAGGTCCGCCCATTCTCAATTTATTTTGTTTTTTTGGGTTATGCTTGCCCCTTATATTTTTTGTTTTTTGGAAGTTGCATGTTTGGGGACCGGAGTTGAGTGCAGTTTGCTTAGGGCGTACTTAAGCACCGTTATTTTAATAAACGCCGTTTGCGCATGCGCAGCTTGACTTGGCCCTGTTTCCTCCGTTTTTTGGGATACTTTTTTGTGTAGCTGAAAAGACTTTCTTCACATAAAAGAAATTGAATTACTGCTGATGGCATAAAGCTAATTTGGCTTGCTCAAAGGTTTTTTTTTCAACAACTATGGTTGCTGATTTGCAGGGAAAAGGAGAGAAGTGGGTGGCAGGAAGTGCCTTGTAAAGTATGCCATTTGTTTTTCGTAATATTTATTTACTTTGGACATTGCATAGAAGCTTTGTTTGTATATTTTGGCTTCGTTCTGTTTGTCGCTTTTTGCATAAACATTTATGCAAATGTCAAATGCCTAATTGACAGACAAGAGCCAAGTGCTTGCCTTGCCTTTTCCTAAAAAAATATATATACATAAATAAGAGCCTAAATTTGAGTGTTTGAACTATAAGATACCTGGGGTGTACTAAGCTGATATAAAATATGATCCATACCAAAAAGAGATATTCATTTTACATTATATTACATAGTCAATATGATGATAATCGCTTAGTTTCTTAGTTTTTAAGTCAAATAGATTTTGTTTCCTGAGACCTATATGTTTTCAAATAGAATATACCCTTCTATTCCATGGGTACCCAAGTATAAAATCCATGACAGTGACCAGGCATTGTCTATGCTGGCAGCAAATTACAATTTACGATCGACGATCAGCAAATCGAGCGACAGCTCCACATTTTGTCAGCTCTGTCGGCGGAACCCTCTGATTTGGAACGACCTTGAGCCTTTATAGAGTCGGAGAATTGCCCCCCTCCCCTTCTAGTGGGGCACTCAATTATCTAGATATACGCGTTATAAAGTGATCTAATGAATTTACTTTATGCGTGTTTCATTTGATGGTGATTGTCCGATAAACATTTTATTTCGCTTTTTATGACCCTAGCTGGCTGCCGTGCGTCGCAGATGTTTGTTTTGAGTGAAAGTAATTTGTCGATTATATGTTTTTTCTCCCTGTTTGGTGGCTGTATACATCTATATATGTGTGGGGACCGACACGCCTAGATACTTGGCATGTCATGTGCTAAGAGCTTAAAATCAGAGAGCCAGTCCGCAGATTCTCTGACTCATGCGAAGAAAGTTTAAACAATGCTTTTGAGGCTGTTAATTCTTTGCCTTTCCCAGAGTCCAAGTCTCAAAAACTGATGATCATGATGCTGATGGACGTAAATATAGTTGTAGTCATCAGGGTTTTATGGCTGCCTTATGCCTACAGCCACTTATTTAGTCGATCATTTGGCGGCAGGTGAGGAGAAATTTAAGATTGGGCGTGGTTGAAGATGGGCTGGCCCTAAATTATAAAACTTGATTACCATACGATTGTTTAATCGTGGAATAATTTGGGATGGTAGCTTGTTTAACTGAATAAAATCTACTAGATTGAGATTTTACAATGATATGCAGCAAATTGCCCCATCTTCCACTCTGTCTTTGATCTGATCTCTTAGCCATGGACAAATTGTTCTGGCCATATATAGTCTGTATCCCGGCACCAATCGATATCATTATTTATATCGCTACGAGATCACAGCAGTCTGCAATTCCAGGCCATTTACATGATCACCTGAAGAAGATGCACACGCCCATGGAGTCGGAATGGGAATTGGAAGACAGCATTGACAGGCGGAATAAAGGCAATCTTCCATTTAATAACCAATTATCATTGATCAACTGCACGCCCGGTCCCCAGAGATCCCGAGTGCGGGGATACCAAAAGGCAGAACGAGAAACGAACTGACCACTGAGCAATATCAATTACGAATTACATCTGATTATCCGCCTCTGACTGGGAATTGGCCAATGCCAAGCCAATGCCATTGCCATTGCCATTGCCATGGTCGCGACTCTTCAGATGCAAGATCCTATATCCAAGATCCCCGATCCCAGATCCCAGTTCCCTGTTCTCTGTGCCAACTCCCGCCTGGGGGCTGTGTGTGTCTGATTAGCGCATAAACAAGTTAATGCCACTGATGATGACGATGCTGAGCCACCTGAACAGAGCCAGACGCCAAGTGCATTGCAATGGACTGGATGCGTACGTGGTGCGATGTTATTGTTTTCCCTGGCAGTCCAGAATCAAAAAGTGCTGGCCCAAGATAAATGGGGCAGGTAGTGGAGGGACTCCTTCAGATAAGACCAACTTCTGGCCTGTTTGGGAGTCTCGGTGCGTCGTCTTCAGTCCTCAGTCGTCGTCGTCTTCTTCTGTTGACAACCACTGGCGGCGGCTTTATAAGCTTTTGATCTTGACAAAGTTTTAACCGCCGGCAACAGCCTGTACCATGTTGAACTTTCCCAGTTTTGTCGTCGTCTTCCTAGAATATGTATCTCCAACTCCCCTGTTTCCCCGACACTTTTCAAGGCGGACAGGGGGTGGCGATATGCTAATGTTGTTTGGGTTTGGGCAGCCAAAAGTCAAACACTGTTTGTTGACGTTACCTTGAAATCCATTCGTAGGGAAACAAGCAACACAAAGGCCTCAGACACATAGCGAAGATGCCTGGTAAACAGAGATGTTTGAGATATATGTCATGTGTTTAGAGCGGACAGCACTTGACATCATAGTTAGGGTTCAATTACTCTGGGTTCTCAAGAGATTGTCTTCTTATTTACTTGCATAAATTGCAGGGTAGTATAGAACGTGTATTATTCCAAAGAAGTGGTTCTTAGTCCCAGAAGTATATACATAGTTATATTTGCGTTCTATTTAGAGTAGTCTTAACTAGTGGGTGTATAATATTGATATAGTAATGCTATATATTAAAAGTAATTTTTCTTAGTAATCCAAAATGGGATAGGTTTTTAAAACGGAACCCAAAAAGTACAAGAAGCCAAATATGCTTATATTCTTAGAATTCGGAAATCATAGGGCAAAACTGAGGATAACAATAGATCTGTGTAATCCAATCCCAATCCTGGAAAAAAAAACATGTTAAGTTATGAAAATAAACAAGATACTTTTCCACAAATCATAGAAATGTTTGCGTAGTGTATTTAGGGAGTCACCCTCCCCAAAAGTCTGGGAATGATTTAATTCGCGGGCATTAACGTGGACAATTGTCTGTGGGAGAGCTGCGACTTGTGTGCTCCTATGCAAATGAGGGGACAATTATGCTGATCAGCGCTAATTGGGGGAGCCATAATGACCCACAGAGTGACTAACCCAGTTCCGTTTTCGTCTTTTTCATTCGCAGGCTGCCCAGCAGGTTCTCCCTGCCAGCGCTGCAACAAGGCGGGCTGCATCAAGTGCCCACGTACCTGGTGACGGACACGAGGCAGTGCGTCGACACGTGCCCCGCCGGCTACTTGGTTCAGTGGTCCGCCCACACGGAGTTCATGGGCAAAGTGTGTGTCCCCACCGGCTACTCGGGTCCACTGATGGCTGCTCTGGCGGGTCTTCTCGGTGGCTTCCTGGTCTGCCTATCCCTGCTGGCGGTGGCCGTGATGCTGGTCAAGAGGAAGCGCCGGCGGAAGTCCATCAAACAGAAGCTCATCAACGAGAACACCATGGATCGGGCGGACTTCATGAGGCAGCTGAACGAGATGCGTCCGAATGCGGAGTACTTCCTGGCCATGTTGAACGACACGAGGCGGCAGATCAGGAAGCTCTATTTGTCGGGTGAGGTGGCGGCCGCCAACTCGTACAGGCCCATCGTTCGGGATCTGGCCAAGCTGCTCATCCTGCTGAACAGGCCCATCGAGCTGATTCCCGCCCCGCCTCCGGATTGGTCCAGGATGTATGCCTGGTCGGAGCAGGCCCTGGAGCGCTACAAGCCACAGGTGGGCCAGCTCATCGACTTCTTCCAGGCCTCGCACGGGCACCATGCCGGTCACCACGAGGTGCTCTACGCTGCTCCGGCCAAGAAGAAGCAACTGCAGCAGCCCAGCATCTTCCGGCAACAGGTGACGCCCACGGCGGACGCCCCAGGGAGTGGGCGAACTGATGGCCGGCGATCGGAATAGCAGTGCCTCGGCGCAGCAAAAGCTGCATCTCTTTGGCTCGCTGATCAGCCTGCACGAGTTCGAGGAGCCACGGGCTTCGGATCCCTTCGGCAGCAGCTTCAACACTCTGAAGAGCGGCAATCTCATCTCTGATCTCAACGCCAGCTCGCTGTGGCTGGAGGACGAGTTCTACAAGCTGGGCTTTCGACCGCAGGACGAGATCACCACGGAGCTGTAACGGCATCACAAAACAAGAATCAAAACTCAGACTCACAACTTAATGTAAAAGAAGTATTATCCCGGCTGGCGGCGCTAGGCGTTCGAATTTAGTGCCAGTTCAGCTGGGGGAAAGGAGCATTTGCGTGCACATTCCGCCAGGCCATCATCATCAATATCATCGTCTTTAACTCCATCGACAAGCCAACTGGGAGGCCATTTAGCCGGAGCCGCTAAATGCCCACCTTTATAGCTTAGTTAGATCTGTTAAGCAAGCAAAACTAGTCACGTAAAATCACAAACAAAACCATCAACACACAACGATGCCGTGGAGAAGGAACAAATGCAAATGGAAATCGCGTGGAAATGAATTTAGTTTTATGGATTTTACAAAAATCGCAACAATCATGTAACGAACAATATTCAATATACACACTATAGAGATACTATTCAGATAATAATTAAGTTGTTTAACTGTAGAGAAGCGATACTTAATAGCTATAGCTTATGTAGACAGAGATTATAAAGCTTAGTGAATACGAAATGGATAATAAAATCGTGTGCCTTAAGAGTGTAAAATGTGTTAAGTGTGTAACAATTTGTATTATTAACCAGGCGCCGTCATCCGACCAAGTCAGCCAACGCTAAGGCTCCTCGTACTTCCAGAGTATGTCGGGTTCCTCCTTGAGCTTCAGCTCGCCATGTCATGTGTCTTCTTTGACCGTTTCCAGGGGGACCACGGGCTCGGGCACTACCTTCCGCTCGTTGACCAGCCGCGACAGCTCCTTGGCATCGTAGCCAATCAACAGCTTTAGGTCGCAGTCAAATTTGTAGGCAAATCGCTTGCCGGACACCTTGGAGATCATATCTCCATCGTAGTAGTATCGGAGAGCCCTCGAAAGTTTCTCGTAGTTCATGGCGGGTTTGTTTTTCTTCTCGCCCCAAAGGCGGGCCACGCGATCCGGATCGCTGAGCTTGAACTCTCCGTCGGTGCCCACCCATTCGATGATGTCCGTGTGCTCGCAGTCGGTGAGTATTTCGAGTAGGAACTGCCACAGCTGCACTTGTCCATTGTTGCCGGAACCGATGGTGGTGTAATTCGTGGGACTCATGGATGTGGGGGAACTTTCAACGGCTGTAGGGGCAATGTATCTTGTTAGTTTAAAATCTTGGTTGGATTTCTATCTACTCACACTCGGAACCCTTGACTGCCTGGTAGGATTTCCGCATAATCCGCTGTTCCAGAGACACCGGACCCGATGAAGTGGTCGATATGGCAGTGGCTGACATGATCCTGGGTTGCTTGGGTTTTCCGCAGCTCCTCCGCCTGCTTGTGGACCACGGACACAAAGTTGCATTCCTTGAGCAGCTGCAGATGCGTCCAGAAGACATTGCCCGGATCACGGGGCAACTTCTTGCTGAATTCCTCGTGCGTCATGCGCACAGTTCCTGGCCGTTGATCTGCCAGTCGCTCATGTTGATGCCACGTAGCTCGAACTGCTTGATGGCCCACTCGAGCCAGTGCGTCACGTGGGCCTGCGTCCATTCGATGGCTGCCTCGGGGATCTTCAGGCGTGCCTGTTCCCGCTTGAACTTGCTGTCGAGGACCCAGTTCAAGACGGGCTTAACATCCTTACTGGATTCAACGGATTCCTCCTCGGAGTCTTCCTTAAGCTTCCGTTTGACGGGGTTTTGATGGGACTTTCGCTGGAGGAGCTCTTCTGGCTGGCTGTTTCAGGAGGGGAGAGTTGGGCCACCACCTCCTCGGCCAGGGCAGCCAAAGCGGCCTCCGTGGGCTTGAGGACATCGGCTATATTGATGCGTTTCCGTATGGTTTGGATCTGCACGTTGATCTGGACGAGACCCTCGCCTTTCACGCACTGATCCACGAGGTTTTTGTGGGATTCCAGCTGGGGGGAATAGAGGTTGAGTAACTAATAGGATCTCAGTAATTCCACTTACCTCCTGTGCATCCTGCAGCCAAAAGGTGTAATAATTCAGACACACCCCTATTTTTTGCTCAACAAGTGATCTGTTTAGGGAAAAATGAGGGTTATTTGTATGGGAAATATGGGGGCTTCCTGAATGGACTCACTTCAGCATGCTGAGCGGCTCGCGGATGTCCATGTGCACGATGATTATGTCGTCCGGTCTGCCTCCGTCTCCACATCGATGCTCTCCTCGAAGATTTCGCTGGCAATCACCTCCTCTGCGAAATTGTTTACAATTAAAAATCGGAGCCACAACAGGTGCGTCCCAATTGGGAATTCCGGATTTCCCACTCACCCAGGGTTCCCGCCAACGCTGAAGCGGCGTATCAGCTCGTCCGACAAGTCATTGCTGCTGTCCATCGTGGTTTTAATTTGTAAATAACTGCCAATAATTAGTTATTTTGGATTTATTTATCTCGTGGATTTTTGTTGCATCCTAGTAGGACCGTAAGCGGCGGGTGTGGAAATACCAAAAATAAATACTAGACGGCATTCGACCAGGGCTGCTAAGCATACGCCAATGTTGCCACCTAGTTTTTGGCGTTTGAAATTGTTGGCGGTTCTTTTGAAAATATCAAAAGAAATTAGTTAACTTTGGGAAATCGTTTAAATAATTTATTGTATTATAGATGTAAATGTTTGAAATTTTTTTAAATGTACTGTGTTAATTATAACCGATTGAAATTAGTCATTTCGGTTAGTTTTATTTTTGTTAATATAAAACCACATATTTAATTTAGGTTGCAAAAACAAATTCATCAAAAACCATTTCCAAGTTTATTTCCCCATTCAAATTTCGTTCATCACAGGCTATTAATATTTTAAGCCTAACGACCTATAAAAATTAGCAATCTTTCGGGTGACAAAATATGTATGCTCGCCCCCTCAAGTGATTTCCTAGAAAAGCAATCGAAATTAATTGAGGAATTCAATTCGCAACAATAAGTTGATGCTGAAGACACCCACTTGCGGGTGAGTGGTTCGCTCTTCATATGAGAATATAGATATTTCTGCCACTTTCTTTCGGTTCAAAGTGGCAATTGGTAGACACAATTGGCAATGTTTGTGTGGCGGAATCGAGGAAGTACTTCATGCGTTCCCACTGCCAAGTGGAGTGGTGCAAAGTGCTCCTCATCTTGGGGTAATGCTGATTAAATGCCCCGTAACACGATCAGTGGGTCAAAACGGTGGGACAATGAGTGTATTGTGCTATCTATGTGGACAGTGGACTGAGGACAGCCCAAGTGCACAGCGCACTTGTTAACACAAGCGATTTTCCATGTTCCGAGATATAGACAAAGTCGGGAGTTGGGAGCGTTACCTCATTGTTGACTCAGTTGGCGTTGATGAACGATATTTGCCGGCGAATATCTCTAAATGTGTGGATGACATAAATATTTAACCTAACCGCTGGAAGTGATTCAATGTTGTCCAGAAAATTCTGACAAATTAACATCCCCTCCAAGACCTTGCAACTCCATTTTCCCCTTTCCGTTTCGTGTCCCAAAGCCAAAAAGCTAATAAACTAGAGTGCGGTTTTCTTTTTGTTTGACAACAAACTGCGCTTTGTTTGCTTACTTGCCAAGCTGTTGACTAATATAAGCCAGCTGGCCAAATTCCGGCTCTTCAGGTCAGTTTTTTCAGTAATTGAAGTTGAGTCATTCACTGTCACGGTCATTTCGTTTTGGATTGCATATTAATAGATATGATAAATTGACTTTCTTATCCCGCAAAACCTTTACTAGTCATTGTATGCTAATGAGGGGTAATCTCATTAGATGTTAAGTATACGCCGCATTGACCTTACCCGGAGATCGAAATCTATGCAGACCGAAAATTGTCTAGGTCATGACATCCAGCTGCAGTGGGCTTATAAACAGATACAGATACAGATACATGAAAAACCCACAATGACAACGTGGAAACTCATATAAAACCTCTAGCAAACACATAAAACTATGCGCAGTCATTGTGGCGCCTCCGACTACCGAAAAAAAAATTCCTTTATAGCCGACTGCCAAAAAAAACAACCCCTTGGGGCTTTTGCCTCTGGATTATTTGTCGGTCGAGCGTTCAACTCCGCGAGAATTGCGTCACTGGATGGCTGGAATTAAATCAATATGGACAACTCCCACGCGGCGGTTAAGTGGAGCACAGAAGTCCGGGACTCGGAGAATTTGCATTTCCGTGGCCCATACAGAAAGGCCAGTATTTGGGTCGCCGAAGGATTGCCATCGCTGCAAGGACATTTCAAAGGCGGAAAGCCTGCTTTTCCGTTTCAGCCATATTCGTTCTTCATTTCATAATTTTTGTTTCTTAATTAATTGGCTTTTTTCGAGTGAGTTATGGCGCTTTTTCGTTCTACTCCTAGAAACCTTCGCTCGAATTAAGGCCAGGATATGAACTCGTTTGTGACCCGCTTTTTATTGGTTTCCGAACTAGTCTGAATTATTTATTAGCCAGTTGAGGGCAGTGCAGTCACGTTATTGATGAACCGCTTAAGTGGTTGAACAGACGCAGGACATGGATTTTGTCGCCTGAAAAATTGCCAAGGGTTGTAGCTTTTCATCACCTTCTGGCTATTTCGATATTATAAATTTACCTATTGGTGGTGTGAGTCAGTCTTAGGTTACGGATTCGAATTCATTAATATTCTGCGACTGTGTCACCATTGGTCAAAATATGGGAGGAAACACTTGTTTAGATGATGTGCGTACAATTCGGACAATCTTTTTGAGTCATCAGCACATGGGTAATCCCTTTAGATTTATTTCGTTTCAATGATGTTATACAAAACATCCCAAAAATATAAGTTTATAGAAAGCCTACAAATTATAATAAAAATCCCTAAAATCATAATCATAAGACTTGTCATATTTCTCAACCTTCTGGTTTCGCTTACATTGTTATCAATATTTTACGTCATTTGAAAAAAAGAATTTT